CTCCAAAGAGGTGGGAACGGAAACCAAAACAGGCTGAGCAAAGGCCCCTCCCTGGAGAAAAGCCACTCAGGGAAGCACCAGGAGCTAATCCTGGAGCTGGGTGGAATTAGTGATTCGGCCAGAGCCCTCACCATTCTCCCAGTTCCTCTTTCACTTCACTCCACAGGATCTTACTCTCCCCACTTTCCTCATACACCCCACACTCTGTCTCTCTCAAGTTCTACCCCACCGCCCTAATGACTGTTCCCAGAGTTTAGAGATCATGCCCAAATCTAAAGGAACTTTCCCAGAAACTGACACTTTCTCTTAAGTCCTTTCCTATTCTGAGACACCATTCTCTTTATTCTCTTTTAAGGGCCCATTGCCCCTGAAACGTTAGTATTAAATGGGTTCCATACTCAATCCACTTCTCGTTTCACTCCAGCCATATTCTTGGGTAACTTCTTGATCCAAGACCTATAATTCTAGTTGCTGGGCACCTGGAGATACTGCTCAGCATGTCTAATCATTATCAGATTGTGAATTCATGCGCTTTGTACATTACTTTGATGTTTATGGGAGATTTCTAGTTTCCAGCAATCTACTCAGTTCTGAGGAAAAGCAGACTGACCATCCCAGGAAGATACAGCCTGTTTCAATAGTTTCCCAGACTGATGACTACCTGGTAGCCCACCGGCTGTGGGTGAAAGAGCTTAAACACTAGCAGGGCTCAGCCACCTCCTCCCTGCCCGTGGTTACTGGCCAAAGTTACTTCCCGAGGTTACAACCATTCTCCACATAAACATTTTCTTTCTGATCTCTTGAAATCCAATTCTCCTCCACAGGCCTAGACTGAGAGGTCTAGCGCCCTCCCCAAGGTTAAACTTGCCAGATTCCCTGCTATCTAGGACAAGCTTCTGAGCACAGCTTTCCCAGGCCCACCCCAAACTCACTGGGCTACGTTCACATGCCTCCTCTCCTGCCCGCTCCAGCTCTTTAAACAACCTTAAATCTTCCACCTAGCTCTGAATTCGTTTCTGCTGAGCAACACCGTCTAATACTAGAAAGTATGCAACTACTTGATGCACACAGACAGAACTATACCCTCATCTCTATAAAATTCTAACACATAACTTGTTAAAATTTTTGTCGGGGGGCTGGAGCAATAGTACAGTGAACAGGGTGTCTGTCTTGCAACAGGGTTCAATCCCTGGCATTCCATATGGTTCCCCGAGCTCACCAGGAGTGATCCCTGAGTGCAGAGCCAGGAGTAAATCCTGAGCATTGCTGGGCGTGTACCCCCAAAAAGGGGTGGGGGGGAAATTCTTGTCAGGTAATTTCAAATATATGCCAGCCGTCCAATTCTATGTCTCGTTAATATTTAAAAAACAAAACTAAATCCAACTTACTTCAGTGATTTCAACCCAAGACACCATCTGAGAATCAGACTCATTATCCTTTGGGTGTGTGACTAGTAACATTACTTCATTATCCTAATAGTCAACATGCTCTATATTTGCTGCACTGCACTGTCCTGCACTGTCCTCCCGTTGCTCATCGATTTGCTCGAGCGGGCCCAGTAACGTCTCCGTTGTGAGACTTGTTACTGTGTTTGGCATATCGAATACGTCACGGGTAGCTTGCCAGGCTTGTCGTGTGGGCAAGATACTCTCGGTAGCTTGCCGGGCTCTCCGAGAGGGGCAGAGGAATCGAACTCGGGTCGGCCAAGTTGGCCACATGGAAGGCAAATGCCCTACCACTGTGCTATATTTGCTACAAGTATACAATGAGACTACTGAAAAGCTTGCTAAGTCACATGCTCTCCTATTTCCCCATTAATCCATATTCTGAATTGTGACCCCAATTTTTGAGGACAGTGCTGGGAATCAAATGCAAGGCCTCAGTACATGCAAGGAAAGTGTTCAACCACTAAGACACATCCTGGCCCAAATTTCTTAAGGTTAAGTCAAAATATTCTGAGTAACCTACTGTTCCTGATTCTAGAAAACATAAAGGCACAAGAAACAAGGACACCGGCAGATCAATTTAACAGAACTGATGGTCAAGAATCAGGTCCAACTACACACAGAAACTCCAAATAAAGGGGCTGAAGCAATAGCATAGCGGGTAGGGCATTTGTCTTGCACATGGCCAACCCGGGTTCGATTCCCAGCATCCCATGTGGAACCCCAAGCACCACCGGGAGTAATTCCTGTGTGCGTAAGCCAGGAGTAACCCCTGGGCATCACCGGGTGTGTCCCAAAAAGCAAAAATTTAAAAAAGAGAAACTCCAAATCAGAAAAAGATGAACTAACATGCTATCTAAACAAATTACTTGGATCTATGCCTCATGTTTACGCAAGGGTAAAATCCAAATAAAGGAAACATTCAAATGATAAATCTGTTGGATAGTTTGTGCTACAAAAGTGACACTACAAAAACATTAGGAAATTTCTGAGAATCTTCTAATAGTCTCAAAATAGTGACGACATAAAGATGACTCAGGCAATGGCTCACTGCTTTTATCTGCAACCAGATGTCTGTGTGGCTGCCCAAGGGGAATCTGGAACAGCCTTTGGTGGGAAACATTCTTATCTGCCCCCAGCAGTCCCCAATCTCTGACTTTCCTTTGGAAAGCCCCAGGGTATGGTGACCAAGGCCCACACTGACCAAGTCATTGTGTCCAGTCATCTACACCAACAGGCAGAACAAGAGCACGTGACTGAGGCTCTCTACTTTGAGGCAAGTTTCCCATCCCAGCCTGCTACCAGAAGATTCACCTCTCCAAGGAGGGCTTTGCCAAGTTCAGTGTGGGAGTTTGAAGACACAGTAACTGCAGAACAGCTCATCATAGCTGGCTGTGAGGTCTCTCATCAGACTCCCTCCTGTGCCCCCAATAAGACTTGCTTCCTACACAGAATCACACACACACTCAGACACACACACTAGCGCGCACACGCGCGCGCGCACACACACACACACACACTCATGGACTGGGAAGCTAGCTCAAGTGGAGTGTAGAGTGCCAAACATGTGATCCCCTGAGCTACTGCCATGAGACAATGAATGACTTGAGCTAGAAATATTTGCTCAGTGGTAGAAACACTGGCTTTGGTCCCAAGTGCCACAAAAAATAACTGAAAATGTCTCAAAACCCCCATCTCTTATATCATGGTTTTTGTCTGATGGGGGGCCACACCCAGCAATGGTGGGGGTTGGGGAGGTGAGGAGGGGGAGTCATGCTATGCCCGAGATCTGGCTCAAGGCCTCATACATGCAAGGCAGACATTCTACCACTTGAGTATTTCCCTGGCCCAAAACACAAGTGCTCTTAAAAAATGCTCAACTACGGGGGTATGGTGCTGCCAGCAGGTCAATCTGTACCTATGAGGCAAGTGCATCAGCAGCTTGATGGCGCCTTCAGACTTCCAGATACCCCAAAATTGCTGCTGTGCCTTTGGCCAGACCCCAAAAATTTGGGGCAAAGTTTACCAAGAAAGTAAACAGCCAAAAGTTAGGCATGTGGGAAACACACTCACAAACCCACCTCCAGCTCAGCTATGTAATTGGAGGCAAGGCCTCTCTGGTTCCTGATCGAACTGCTTAATGGCCATGATCCCAGACACTCAGAAACAAAATCTCGAAACCCAGCGGCTTTTGGCAGAAATGCGCTGGTCCCTGCAGTAGGTTACTGGTGCTGAGCCAACCCAGGTGGGAATAGGTTTTGTGCCTTGGCCTGTTCCCCCTGACAGCCTGGTGGCCGCCATCTTCCAGAGGCCATTGGACAGTCAGGCTTGGGCCCGCAGTGACATTTTGGGTTTCACGGGATGGGGGTGGAGTCGGTCCTGTCCTCCCCACCCCAATGAGACCCCAAGTCATCGTCCACGAATGGCCTCTCTGGCTCCTGACCAAGCTGCTTAACAGCCATGATCCCAGACACTGAGAAACAAATCTCGAAACCCAGCGGCTTTTGGCAGAAATGCGTCCGGACCACGCAGTAGGTTACTGTCACCAGGCCACCCCAGGAGGGAAAGGGTGTTGTCCCTCCACCTGCTTCCCCCTGGCGGCTCGGTGGCCATCATCCTCCAGAGGCCATTGGAAAGTCAGGTTTGGGCCAGCAGTGACGAGACATTTTGGGCCTCACAGGATGGGGGTAGAGCCGGTCCTGTCCTCCCCACCCCAATGAGACCCCAAGTCATCGCCCACGAACGGCCTTTCTGGCTCCTGATCAAGCTGCTTAACGGCCATGATCCCAGAGACTCAGCAACAAATCTTGGAACCCAGCAGGTTTTGGCAGAAATCCCTCCAGATTTAAGTGTTAAAATTTCAGAATCTTAAAATCGCGCGGCCACTACTGCAGCCACACGACATCATGTTATTCATAACCAGCAATAGGAAACAAATTGTCTACGGTTGCCTTTTCAGCAGATCTGAGTGTTCGGGTAAAATCTCAAATAATAATGTTGGATCTGGTGTCAAAATATTGAATGTGATCAAAGTAGAGAGAGAGTAATGTGGAAATCATCTGCCCCACAGCTAGGGGGTGGGTGTGGGATGGGGATATACTGGGGTTGTTGGGGGTGGAGAATGGGCACTGGTGAAGGTACAGGTGTTTCATTGTATGACCGAGACTTAGACCCGAAAGCTTTGGAACTGCTCTCACGGTGATTCAATAAATAAAATTATAAAAAATGAAAAAAAAAAGGGTGGAGTTCATGCACAATTCAATCAGCTAATCAATGGCTGAATAAATAGCAGTACTCTACATAAAAAAAAATGCTCAACTAATAATTAAACTGTTCAGTATGGAAGCTTCTTACTCTCAGGAGTCTTAATAGACAAACCAGCATTTACACGGCCTCAGCAAGAACAGTGGAGGAAAATCCTGACTTGCTGAGTATTCCCCTATTTGTCAATAGTTCCTTCTTGGGGGAATGCTATGGATGTCTCTGAAAATCTCCACAGGAAACTGAGCTTCTGGCTGGGGACAGCTACAGCAAAAAGCAAAGCAGCAGTTGATGACCCAAGGACATAACTTTATTGGAAACAAGGAGCGGGATTATAGGAGAGCGCTAGGAATCAGGCTCTGTGGTAAGTGGCGGCTTCTCATCATCAGGGGGACAGTCAATAAAGTCGGCCAACATGGCAGCTGTGTCATCCTGCTCCTTTAGGGACAAAGACAAAATAAGAAACAGTCACACATACACAGAAGACTGAATCAGGCGGTGGAAAAAGCGCTCCCCTTACACTACCTCCTGCTACCCCTTTCCCCATAGCCCCCCCCCCCCCCCCCCGAGCCACCGTGCCAGCCTGACCCACTCACCTTTTCCTGAACATCTGCTGCCTCCGTCTGTGCCTCCATTTCTCCCTCTTCAGCTGCCCCAGATTTCTCAGGCAAGGATGGTACCTTGTCACCGCCATCCTCAGCTCCCTCTTCCTGCAGAGCTGGGGGAGCAGAAGGCTCTTCTTCAACAAGCTCTTTAGGAGGTGGGGAGGAGTTTGCTGGGGGGGTTCCCCCTTCCTTCTCTGCCTCTCCCTGGGCAGGGAGTACCTCAGGGGCAAGTGTGGGGGCCCTCTCAGCTCCTTGTTCTTCCTCTGCCCCAGGCTCCTCCACTTCCAACAACAGCCCAGGTTCTGGCTCTGGCTCAGGCTGCACCTTAGGAGACTCTGGCGGGGGCAGAGCTGGAGGCAGGCTTGGGGGAGGAGGTGCACCCTCTTCTACCTCCCCTCCCGCTGGGCCAAACTCCAACTCTTCCACTTCCTCCATTTCTTCTTCCTCCTCCTCATCTTCCTCCTCTTCTTCCTCTAATTCCCCTTCCTCTTCCTCAAACTCTTCCTCAAACTCTTCTTCCTCTTCTTCCTCCTCTTCAAAATACTCTTCTTCATCTTCTTCGTCTTCAAAATCTTCTTCTTCCTCTTCTTCCTCTTCCTCTTCTTCCTCTTCCTCCTCCTCCTCATCACTGCTGTTGATATTAATAACTGTTAAGTCTTCTTCCAGAGCTGGGGGTCCTCCCCCACTAGCAGTCCCTTCAGGGACCAGCTGCGGCGGTGGGAGTGTCACGGGGCCAGGAACAGGAGGGGGTGGGGGTGGAGGGAGAGGCCCAGGGACTGCAGGAAGTTCTTCAGGCTCCTCCTTGGCTGGCACAGGAGAAGAGGCTGTTGGTGGCCCAGCTGGGGCTACAGGGGGTGGTGTGGTGCCTGCAGGTGGAGGGGGTGGCAAGGGCGGCAGGCCCTCAGGCACGATCACCACACTGTCATCAGAGTCGCTTTCCAAGGAAATCTCCACATCGGAAGCCTCCTCCTTATCATAATGGACAAAGGCTGGTCTGGGTACTCTCCCTCCAAAAGTCTCATCGGAGGATATAGGTGGAGGAGTGCCACTAGGTGCAAGGACAGGGTCCTCATTTGAGCCTGCCCGGTGGTTCTCAGGACCAGGGAGGAGTCTGGAGGGAACAGACACCAGGCCTGGGACAGCAAGGCCTAAATGGTTGGCTGTGGCTGGCGGTCCAGGGCGTGCAGGGGGAACTGGACCCACTGAGGCCATGGGGCCTGCTGAGGGCATGGGACCTGCTGAGGGCATGGACCCTGCAGAGGACATGGGGCCCACTGAGGGCATAGGGCCCACCGAGGGCATGGGGCCCACCGAGGGCAGGGGACCCACCGAGGGCAAGGGGCCCGCTGCAGGCAGGGGGCCCGCCGCAGGGAGTGGACCAGGGGGATGAAAGGGTGGAGCTCTGAATGGAGATGGGGCCTCCGGAGGGGGAGCAGGTGCAGGTGCAAGGCAGGTAGGGCCCATGGACTGCAGTGGAGGAACCCGGGGGTGGGTGAGAGCAGCACAGGTGACCAAGGCTTCAGAACAGAAAGAGGAGACCTGAGGAACAAAGACAGGGCAAGTGTGAGTGTCAGGACACAGGGCTGCACAGGCTGGAAATAGGCCACCAGCCTCAGAAAGAACTGAATCAAAACCCAACAGGCGGGCTCAGCCCTGGCCAGCAGTTACCTCAAGACTGTCTTCTCTTTGGCCAAGGGAGAAGGCCTGCAGGGCACAGGCAAGCGGAGGAGGGCAGCGAGGAGAAGGTGCCAGCAACAGAGCCAGCAGCAGGCGGTAGAGCTCTCGGCGGCAACGGGAGCTGGTGTATGGCGAATTGCCCAGGACCTCACCCTGCTGGACGCCCATAACCAGGGGCAGCACCAAATCATGCAGCCTCTGGAAGAACGCAAGGATGGATACCTGAGAATGCCGCCAAGTCTTACAGGGCTACACCCAGGCTTGAATGAACCACCTCTAGGCAACATCCCCAACCCATAGACGAGTGTTTCCCTCCCCAGTGCCCCGGGGACCAATCCACTAACCCTATGAGTCTCCTCCTTGATGAGAGGCCCACACATGAGGATGGTCCGGCTGAGGCCTGGGGAAGAAGAATGGTGGGTAGGAGGAGGGCTACTAACAGAAGAGTAGGAGGGCCTCTGAAGCCCCCAACTAGGGAACCCAGTGCTGCCACAAGACTCTCAGTCTGTTCCCGCAACTACAAAATAGGATCATTGGAGTTCCTCCCCCGCCACCCCCCAGGAGGCTAACGGCAGCATGGAAATGAGGTAAGCAAGGGGGACATTACCAATGTGCAAATGTGCAACCAACTATGTGGGGCGAGTTGCCTCTTCTCTACCCAAGAGTGGGTGGCAGACAGCGAAAAATAGAGGACTCAAAGGAGTGACCCACCCAACAGTACTTGACTATGAGCTTCTGTTCACGGATCAGCAACGATATACTGAGCAAGAAGCCCCCCAGGGAACCTGCCCTGGGGAGATAATTCCACAGGGCAGCAGGGATTTCCCCCCCGGTGGCACACGCACATGCCATGGAGACAGCACCTGCCCAGCAAACCGCTAAACAAACATCTGAGACCCTCAATGAGCAGCAAACCACAGCACTCCAACTCTTGCCCTGAAGCTGCACAGTTGTTCTGCTCCACCCTGTAGCCTCTCTCCACAGGCCCCGCTGACTCTGCCTTTGAAGCGTACCCACCATATCAACAATCAATTGTGCTATCACCAGGCTATCCCAGTGCCTTAAGGATGCATAGTACCGGCCTCACCCACCTCTCAGTGCAGCTGCACACACATCACTGTTGGCATTGTTATCCCCTTTCCGGTGGCTGGGTGGGGCCATCGTCTCCCCAACATCCAGCTTTAGCTTCTTGGGGGCACTGGGCTTGCTGGTCTGCAAACTGTCAGGGCTGTCCTGGGGACTGCGCAGCTGGTGGAGAGAAGAAGACTCAGACAAGACAGGCAACAATCAGGTTCTTTTGTCTCTTTGATGAGGAGACTCATCAGGACCAAGGGCACATACAGGACAGAGACTCCTGAGAGAATCAAAAGCTTCTCACCTTCAGGGCTTCAGCAGGGGGGGAGATGTCACTTAGCAAGTGGGTGAGCAGAGCCTCTCCAGAAGCACCTCCCTGAAGCACTCCCGCTGAAGAACCACAAACCTGCACCCACAGTTCTAATATAGCGTATACCTTGGTCCGCATAATGCTGTGGAGTAGAAAGAACAGCTGTTAAAAAGGGAGCTGATATAACACATCCTGCCTCTCCTCCCTGAGGGGCCCCAGCCCATGGTTACCTGTAAGGCTTCTCCTGGCCAGGAGAGAGGGTGTCCCTACCAATGCTCCAGGCATTGAGGACCTGGGGAAGGAGGCGGCTAATCAGGGCCCCAAAGCGCAGGAGTCGGCTTCCACACCTGGAAGGAGACAAGACGGTGACTCACTGCCAGCATGGCCCAGTTTCTCCGCACTGCCTAACCCCACTCACGCAAGGATGAGTGCAGACAGCAGGTCCAAGGCTTCCAGGTGGACAGATGGCAGCAGCAGTAACCGCAACGGACCATCTCCAAGTAAACTCTGAAAAATATGGACGAACGTAAGGTGGGGTGAAGAAGTGAGGCTGGACAGAAAGGAAGGGAACAGAGGCATGAGTGAACAGTTCCTTGTTTTATTGCTTGAGATTTTGGTTTTGGTTTTTGGGACACACCCTGTTGTGCTCAGGACTTATTCCTGGCTCTGCCAAGATGCTCCAAGACCACATACGGATCAAACCCAGCATCCTACCTGCCATACTATTTCTTCGGTCCCAACAGGAGCTTAAAAAACAACAACAAAAAAGAAACCTAAACTCTAACCCCAGCTCTCCCCAAGATCCAACCCTGATCCTCTAAAACAGACCCCTCATCTAGGACGACCTAACTCCCATGTTTACCCTCCCCTAGGGAGACACCGATACAGTGTCCCCACAATATAAGTGATTCACAATGGCGGTGAATCCATTTATGCTGCCTGTGTGTTGAAGCACAGAAAATAATGGCAGCTAGATTAAAGGAAGGAATGTTAAGGACAACCTCAGGAAGGACACCAGGAATTTCAGATCCCACATCATCTTCCTGGTTGCCCTGGGTCTGAAGTAAGGGTTGCGGACAGAGGAGCAACTCCACTTACAATGTTCTTGGCACTGATGCTGAGGATTCGGCAGATGATATCTAGGATTTCCTGCACAGGGACCGAGACAGGCGCCCCAAACTCAGAGCTAAAGAGAATTAGAGCAGAGAGACCCTCAGCGCGGATCCTACGGAGGGCACCACACCCTACCATAGAATGAAGAACAGCCACCATCTCAGCCCTCCTGCTCCAGGTCACTGGTCTCTAATACTCGTTCACATACCTCAGCATGAGCCCCAGGCAGCGGGCCAGTCCAGAAAACCTCTGCCGAAGCCGGAGAAGGACATGGGAGTCACCTTCTTCAGAGGGGGCAAGCAGCAACTCCACTCCGGCACCTTCATATTGCATAGGAGCTAGAACAAAACACAATCATCTTCACACTTTGTGCCAGTGTTCTTCAACTTTTTTATGCCTGCAAACCAGTGAAGCTAGATCACAAATTGCTAAGATGGAAATAAGTACTCTTGCTTATAGTACAAATATTCAAACATCAATATTGACGACTGACTACATGATTCAGGTGTGCCATGTGGTAAGCAGCTATAACCTTCTCAGGCCAGCAGAAAATTTCTTAGACTGGCTATTGAAAACGACTGTTCTAGTCTTTCTTCCATCCCCTCCTTTTCCTTTGCAGTAAATGACCCAGCTAGTTGTTCAAATTTGCCTAGAAAGCAATCACCCCACCTTCTGGTCACCCTCCCTGCAAGGTCCCAACCACTCCACCACTGACCACCTGCTGCAGTCCCTACCTGTCTCCGCTCCCTCGTATAAGGTCCCTAGCAGGCTATGCAGGGAGGCCAACAGGCTGTGCAGCTCCTGCTCCCAGCTCTCGGTATGCTTCAAGCCCTGGGAGAAGCCAGCCCCTAAGGAGGGCAGCCGGGAATAACATTCACAGGCCAACTGCAGAAGAAAGGGGAAACCTGGTCAGCAAGGATCTGGCCCAGCCACAGAATCCCTCATGCCACCAATGCCAAGAAAGTTAGAGATCGAAGAGAATATAAGGGAATACCAAGAGGGACAAGAGGGCAGAGGGGCCCAGACAAAAACATGGAGGAAGTGGGAACATCATCAAAATGCAGAAATAAAAACACTAAGAATGAGGAATAAGAGAAGTGCGGGGCACCAACCTTCAGGCACTCCTATCCTTTTACTCTTTACCTGCTGGAGCTGCGGACTCAAGGAATCAATCCGTGACAAAAAAAATGAAGCCAGCTTGCCCTGTTACAAAGAAAGAAAAAGTGGCTGGTGAGTCAGACACAAAGGCGAGAAACATATACCCTATTCATTCCTGAGAACAGAGACAGGAAGCAAAGTACTGAGAGCAGACATGCTTTTACGACAGAGAGACATACTAAGTAAGATGTTCCACTCTTGAGCTTAGCCTTCCTATTTAGAAAGAATGGGACTGTCCTATGCCTCAGATATCTAGATTCTTTCCCTAAGTTTTACAAAATGATTGTAATCCTCCTCAAATCAAAATGACACAGATTACTAAATCCAAAGTGATTCACATGTATCACTAATTTTGAAATTTAAGTAGTTATTAAACATACTGCAGGATCTTACTGACAGGTCAGTAAGGAAGCAAATAATATACTGTATTTTTATAGGGGTCACCAGACCCAGGAGGGGTCAGGGCAGGAGAACACAATGCTGGGATCAAACTCAGGGACTGCCTCACCTATGCACGGTAACAAGCTATTTCCCCAGCCCTGCTAACAATTGTTTTAAATATATACTTCAACAGAACCTACTTCCTTTATAATTCCTTAACACGTGTAAAAGCATTCTGAAAAGAAGGGTTGAATGACATAAAAAGCTTATTAACACCACAGGGAGTGATCGATCCCTGAGCAGTCAGAAAGAAGCCCTGAATATGGCCGTGTTTGACCCCCCCCCCCCAAAAAAAAACCCTTAAAGCAAAGGTAAAGAAATGCATGAGACTGTGATGTTCATCTTCAGAGGGAACTAAGAGAGAGGAAAAAAAGACAAGGAAAGTGAACAAAGCAACAACCCAGGCACCATGTCAAGGACTAACGCTGGGCAGCAGGACCACACTGAACTAAACAGGGTCAAGTCCACATAAGGAGAGCAGGAAAGGAGAGATTCTGTAAAGTAAGAAAGCTATAGAATAGAAGATACCCATGGAGTAGCAGGCTGGCATTAAATCCAACTTCCGGGATAATAAATTAGCAGTGGCACAAGACTTACAAGAGCAAAGTAAGACGGGAGCCCACCAGCATGTGCTTGTGAAAGCAAGGACTCCCACCCATCTCACTAGTGGTAGAAATCACATTTAAGTTCTCCTGGTGGCCTTCGGGATTCTTCTTGACAAAGGAATGAGCCTTAGCTAGTCCCAGGTGAAAATTGTGAAAAATTTCAGAATTTGCCAAATCTAAAGATTCACCAGCCTCTCAAAGGATTGTGTCTCAGAGTTGCCAAAGCCTCAATGAATGGCACTCAATCCTTTAGGTCAACTGACTACTCAAGCTTTCCTGAAGATGTGGAAGAGTAGGTAGACTGGAGATGACATAGGAGTGTCAGTGGTTTTTGACACTTTGGTGTTATGTACACCCTAACCATATATGTCAACACTGCTGTACACACATTTCCTTTTTTAAATAATTTTTTAAAGCTGAAATGAGGCCAACAGAAGTAGTCTGCTTATGTGTTGGATGTAAACCAAATGCACATATGTACACACACTCACGCACAACGCAGCTGTATATCTTTAGAAGATTATCTAGCCCACTCATTCCAAGGAACTATAAATCAACTAGGCAAGGAGAGGCAGAGTCTCTATAGGGACTGACTTCATGGACACAGAATGCCTGAGACACATCATTTCGAAAGAATGATCATGACCTTGGAGAATACATCAACCCTAGGTGCTTCTGGGAAATGGGAACAGAGAACACATAAACCCTCCAGAATAGGAATCATCAGTTTCCTAAGAACTGGTCTGAAAGACATTACAAATTGCTCTGGCATCCTTTATACAGATTCTCATCCAACATATTTGTCAAAATCCTGAACAAAGGGAAAAAAGGCACTATTCAAACACACAAATACTCCAGAACAGGAATTATCAGTTTCCTAAGAAACTGGATTAAAAGACAGTACAAGTCCAAATTGCCCTGAGTCCCTTATTCAACAGATTCTTATCCAACATATTTGCAACAAAGTCAAAACACTGAACAGAAAGACAAAAGACACTTTATTCCTAGAGAAAGTCTTAAGTAACCAGAAAAAAAACATAAGAATATGGTCATTTGGTTTGGAAAGTGTACTCAGAATATGCAAGTCATAACTTGTCATTATCTGACAAAAGCTTCTGAATTATAGATGAATTCTCCTGACAACTCACAATAAAAACTAAGATGCACCAGCAGAAGAAAACTCAGCATGCTGGTTTCCAATAAGTATTCAAATCTCAACCTGCAGGTTAAAAATTCAATTCTCCTTCCACTTCATGGGGGTGGGGGGAAAATGTATCTACAGGTAACCCTAACCAAGCTTTTATCAAAATAGACATCTGTAGTAAAACCCCACAAACTTTGACTAATGAAGTGTCAGGGACAAAGACCTAGCCACCAAATTTGAGAAGTGAATTTGCAACATTTTTCAGAAGAATGACTGAAAACGGTAAAACATTAGGGGTTTTTTTTTGGGGAGGGGGGGGACCTCAACAGGCTTTTCCCACTCTGAAAAAACCTGTATTCCTGGGCTGGAGCAGGTAGGGCATTTGCCCTGCACGCGGCTGACCCAGGTTCGATTCCCAGCATCCCATATGGTCCCCTGAGCACCGCCAGGGGTAATTCCTGAGTGCAGAGCCAGGAGTAGCCCCTGTGCATCGCCGGGTGTGACCCAAAAAGGAAAAAAAAAAAAAAAAAAAAAAAAAGCCTGTATTCCCTCTTGTACACATGTGCCCCTCTAGCCCCTCTAGTTCTCTCCTCACAACTCTTTAAGTAAATTTTTTTCAATGGAGACTATTTTGTTTAGCTGAAAACAAACAAACAAAACTGATCCCCAGTAGTCGATATGGTCCCTCTAGCACCACCAGGAGTGATACCTCAGTGCAGAGCCGGAGTAAGCCCGGAGCATACCTGGACGTTGCACAAAACCACAAACAAAAAACAGATCTTGCCCACATGTGGGATAAAAAAAGAAACATAGTCAGGGAAGAATAAATGGTCAAAGCCATCAGAACTGAAATTTTGTCTCAGAGCTGAGCTTACATGCTGGGGTGGGGGTGGGGGTGCAGCAGGGCTGGGAGGGGTCCTAGGGACACTGGTAGAGAGAAGCAGGCTCTATGGTGATGGATGTGGTGTCAAAATGATGTATGCATAAAAACAATCATTAACAGTTGTATAATTCCTAGTACTACAATGAAATTATTACTAACAATAAAAGGAATATAAAGTGAGGGCTGGATGTACAGGGGTTAAGGGGCTTGGCTAGCAGGTGAAATTCCAGTTCAATCCCCAGCACCACATATGGTCTTCCAAGGCCCACCAAGAGTGATCCCTGAACACAAAACCAGGACAATGCTGGGTATGCACCACCAACCCCCTAGGGGGGGAGAAAAAAAAAGAAAAATCTAAGGAGAAAGAAATGTTGGGGGAAGTTGTTATAGTGGCATTACCCCATTGTAGAGCCAAGAACCTCGCCCTAGTAACAGCTGGGTCTCAAAAATATATATATTAACTGGCTGCAAGGTGTCCTAACTATAGCTGTGAATACAGGCAACTTAAAAAAAAAAAATTTATCATAAGACAAATGTGAGAGTGCTGGGTTAAGGCCCTTTGCCTTGCACATGGTTCCAAGCTCATCAGAAATGAGCCCTGAGTGCAAAGTCAGAATTAAGCCCTGAGTGTGGCCCAAAAACAAACCCCAAATAAAGCCTATCAGAAGATGGGTGCTAGGAAACTAGAAAATCTCAGCAACCAGCATTAAAGTTTATTTATTCTAGTGGGTGGAGTTTCCCGGAATACTTACTTTGAGAGAACCACAAGCCCGAGGAAAATAGGTCATACAGGCCTTCATGCCCTCTAGTGCTGAAAACTCACACTGTGGAAAAAACAACATCAATAGACAAGAGTCCACCTCTCACGTCCACCCTGCCACCCTCAGTGCCTTCTCCATGCACTTTTTGGTCTTTCTCTCTTCCCACTCCTTCAACCGACTCCCCATTTACTCCCCATCTCATTCTTTAATCCAATGGGTATGAGCGTGGGCAGGTACCAGAAGGAGCCAAGAAGGGGTTATTATGTAGGACTGGAAAGGGATCTCACCTCTGGTTTGAGGCCCAGCAGGGAGGTGAGTAGTCCAGGGAGGTGGTTCATGGAGATGTCTCTGAACAGTGTAGGAAGCTGGGCAGCATATCGGAGCAGGTCCCTCAAGACAGCCACAGCCAACTCCATTGTCGGGGGTGGGTCCTGGGACTAAAAGACAGTAATGCCCCATGCTTCCAACCTTAACTTCATGGGAGGAAGGAGCAAGAGGTAGAATGTGGGGCTTTTTGAAAAACACTAGTTAAAATCGATATTGCCATTGGGGTTGGAGAGACAGTAGAGTGGGTATGGTGCTTGCCTTGATACAGCCCACCGGGGTTTGACCCCAGCATCCTATGGGGTCCCCAAGCACCGCGAGGAGTAGCTCCTGAGTGCAGAGCCCCTGAACACTGCAAAGTGTGATCCAAAAGTCTAACCACTGTAGTCGAAGTGACATCTGCACTTGTTTGTTCAATGCAGCACTGTTTACGATAGCTAGGATCTGGAAAAACCCTGAGTGCCCGAGGACAGATGACTGGTTAAAGAAACTTTGGTACATCTACACAACGGAGTATTATGTAGCTGTTAGAAAAGATGAAGTCATGAAATTTACATACAAGCAGTACTACATGGAAAATATCATGCTAAGCGAAATGAGTCAGAAAGAGAGGGATAGACATAGAAAGATTGCATTCATCTGGGGGATATAAAGTAACAAAATAGGAGATTAATACCCAAGAATAGCTGAGATCAGCACCAGGAGGATTACTCCGTAGCTTAGTGGCCAGTTGGGCATTCTAGAGGAAAGGGCAGCTCAGATAGAGAAGGGAACACCAAATAAAGGGTGTTTGGAGGTCCCTCCCAGGAGGGAGGGGAGATGCATGTCGAAAGTGGACTATGGACTGAACATGTTTGCCACTCAATGCCTCTTTTGCAGACCACAACACCCAAAAGGAGAGAGAGAACACAGGGGATTGCCCTGCCACAGAGGCAGGGGGGGATGGGGGGATGGGGTGGGGGGGACATTATCCATGGTGGTGGAAAATGGGCACTGGTGGAGGGATGGGTATCTGATCATTGTATAATTGAAACCCAAGCACAAAAAATTGTAAATCTACAACTGTACCTCATGGTGTTTCACTAATAAAAATAAATAAATAAATAAATAAAAATAAAGAAACTTTGGTACATCTACACAACGGAGTATTATGTAGCTGTTAGAAAAGATGAAGTCATGAAATTTACATACAAGCAGTACTACATAGAAAATATCATGCTAAGCGAAATGAGTCAGAAAGGGAGGGACAGACATAGAAAGATTGCATTCATCTGGGGAATATAAAGTAACAAAATAGGAGACTAACACCCAAGAATAGCCGAGATAAGTACAGAAGGTTTACTCCGTGGCGTGGAGGCCAGCCACACATGCTGAAGGAGAAGGCAGCTCAGATAAAGAGGTGAGCACCAAGTAAAGGGTGTTGGGAGGATCCTCCCAGGATGGGAGATGCATGCTGAGAGTAGACTATAGACCGAACATTATTGCCACTCAATGCCTCTTTTGCAAACCACAGCACCCAAAAGGAGAGAGAGAACAAAAGGGCAGGGTGAGGTGGGGGGAATGGGGCGTTGAGAGGGATACTGGGAACACTGGTGGTGGAGAATGGGCACTGGTGGCGGGATGGGTACTCGATCATTGTATAACTGAAACCCAAGCATAAAAATTTGTAAGTCTACAACTGTACCTCATGGTGTTTCACTAATAAAAATTTAAAAAAAAAAAGTCTAACCACTCCCCCAACAAATCAATATTACAATCAAATCTACTAGGGATGGAGTACATTCGAAATATGAAGCCTCCAAAGTTAAGTATTTGTCTTCAGAAAGATCACATGATTTACATTTGGTATTATTCAGTATTTGGGGTCCTAGGAATTTTCTTAATAGAAGGAAAAAAAAACTGCAGCAAAGTCACACCTTAAAGACCTGACTAACTGGAAGACCTCAAGAATCAAGAGCTTCTTGATTCTCCCATTCTCGAGTTTCCTTGCTAGGAACAAAGAACACTCCTCAGTCTGAAGGGAGGGGGAGAAAGGCTTCATAACCACAACAAAACTGCTCATCTCCAAGTTTATTTCCAACTGGCTCAAACATACCCCAAAACGCAAAGAGGGAAAAAACAGATTTTGTGTTTTTTGTTTTGGTTTTTTTCTGGAGTGACAACAGTTTTTGTCACTCCACAGGCAGTAAGAACAGTTTAGCTTCAGGACTTCCCTAGAAAATCAGAATTTTTCTTGGTTTTTGTTTGTTTGTTTGGTTTCTGGTTTGGGGGTAACACTTGGCAGTGGTTTTCAGAGCTTACTTCTGACTGTGCACTCACGCTCACTCTTAGCAGGGTTCAGAGGACCATATGTTGTACCAGGGATCGAACCTGTTGTGCTTGTAAGTAAGTGCTCTTCCCAGTATGTTATTGCTCTGGCCTGTTTTTCACGCCAGGTTCAACCCCTAGCATCCCACATAGTTCCTTGAGCACCTCTGGGAGTGATTCCTGGGTGCAGAGCCAGGAATAACCCTAGTAACCCTTGAGCATCGCTGAATGTGGCCCAAAAACAACCACCAAGAAAGCAATTCAGTTTGTACCTCCTGCCTAGCCATGTACGCCAAAAAATTAAGTAAAAGACTTATTAAGAATGTTGCTACTACAGTGGGTATGGTATGGCACTTGCCTTACAGTGCCCAGTGTGACCCCCAAAATAAATAGTAAAAACCACTGTGGCTATGCAGGCACCTACAAGTCAAGTTTGCTGATCCCCATTCTACTGGAAGAGACTTTATGAAGAATAGTGTTCTCCTTAGTTAGCTCTCTGAGAACATCTAATGAAAATGTGGCCCAGAGTGGGGTAGTTTTTATCAACTCATCAGAAGGAGTAAGCTGGGTCAAAAGAGTGTTCTATGTGTGCAAAAGCTCCACGAGTAGTGGAACCTGAATTGTTTGGAGAACAATAAGCATGCTGGGGGTGGAGAAAAGCTGCTGAGGGATGGGGGTGGGAGGGATGCCAGGACCCGTGGTGGTGGGAAATGGGCACTGGTGGAGGGACGGGTGTTTGATCATTGTATAACGGAAACCCAAGCACAAAATTTGTAAGTCTGCAACTGTACCTCATGGTGTCTCACTTAAAAAAAAAAAGCTGCTGAGGGAGGTACAGAGCTGGGAACCAAGTCGATGTGGCTTGTGGGCATGATAAGGAGTTCGGTTCTTATTCTTTACATAGTGGGAATTTATGGAAGGTTCTATGTAAGGGAGAGGAAGTGCTGCTGGTAGTGAAAGGATCAGATTTTTTGGAAGTATCATTCATTGGCTGCTGTGTAGAGAGGATTGAAAAGAAGTCAGGATGCAAGCAGAAAAAAAAAAAAAGCCTGCATTTCCCCATTTCCTATTCCCTGGTCCCTGTTCCTTCCCATCCCAATTCAGTGTGGCTGCAGGCAGGGTGCTTGTCTTGTACAGAGCTGATCCGGTTTCCATCTGCAGCATCCCATATGGTCCCCCAAGCACCACCAGGAGTAATTCTGAGAACATAGCCAGGACTTAACCCTTGGTCATTACCACCAAAAGGAAGGACAGGACAGAGCACAGCAAAAAAAAATTTTGAATGCATCTATTTCAGATTTACCCACCCTTTCCCCCAAGTCAGAAAATTTCTCCTTATACTGAGCCCAAAATTAAGTGCCCAGGTAGCAAAAAACATACTACATCCAGAATGGAGACTAAAGCATGATGGAGAACAGAGAACACTGAATAAATCCTTACCTGTAAGATCTGCTGAATGCTCCGAAGCCAAGAGACACAATGCTGCTGGAACATCTCCGTGGGGCTCTCCCCCACCAGCAGGGAGAGCAAACACAGGCCCTCAAATCTTCAAGAAAAACAGTGAGTGATGAAAAGTGGATGGAAGCACTACTTCAGAAAAAGTTATCAGGTATTGTCTCACTGTCCCTGGATTAGAGCAAGTGAATACCTCCAGCTTCACAGTGTCTCTAACTCCTAAGTATTTGCAAGGAGTAAAGTTCAAGTAGAAAGGAAAGGAGGGAAAGGAAACCTGGGTGCTGGAAGGTGGAGTTCAACTGAAGTGGAATCACAAAAAGAATGAAACTCTTCAGTCTTTGGGAACGGAGAAATTATTTGACTCCATGGACATTGATGGACAAGTGCACAGCCCACTTCCAAGAAGAGTAACTCACTAAAGAAGAAGTAGGTTTAAAGACTTACCGAGTCTTGACTGAGCCAAGTCGTGCATTACTGAGACTCACCAATGCCCCAACAGCTGAAAGGTTCTGAGGAAAAAAACAAAAGTGAGTTAGGGCTGGGACGCTCGTGATATAGATCTCCTCCCAGCCTTTCCCTGTTCTGACAGCAACGAAGACTTTTCTTAAGTGACACATCCTTTGAAGCTAAGATACCATTCCGTATGACACTTTCAGTAGGTGACAAAAGTTCTGTAGACCTCCCTGAAGTTACCTCTGCCTGATCCCTTCTCCCACTTCCTACCCACAAAATTAGAACAATACAAAGAACAGCCCAACTTATCCCAGCTATCAGACTGCAAAGATAGGTACATTTCACTTGTTTCCCTAAATATACAAAGCAAGGAGACATCCCATAAATCTCTGCTGAATGATCACTTTACCTATCTGCTACCCGTCTTCCTCAGTCTCTGAAAAGATCCTTCTCCTCCTCTGGCTCTCCTATTCCTACCTCCTTATATTAAAAAGGTCAATTCAGAACTAGTCAAGAAGAGCCATCTTCCAGTCTTTTCCTTCTCTCACTTCTGGGAGCATTGAAAGAAGTTTCCTTCTCAGCCCTTCCACAATAACCACTCTACCCTGAAGAGCCAGTTCTTACACAGCCCCTGTACCACACTAAACATATTCCTCACTCACAGACAGTAAGTACTGAGTTCAGTGCAGGCATACAGTGCTGAGTAAAATAAGGGTCACGTGCTGCTCTCATGAAAGGAAATGTTCAGGAGCTGGAGAGAAGGCACAGGGGTTAAGGCAGCTCCCTGTCACACGGCAGACCTTGGGGTTTGACCTGTAGCCCTATATACGATTCCCTGACTGTCAATCACCAGGAGTGATCCTCGAGCACAGCTGGATATGGCCCCAAATCCAGCCCCCCCACCAAATAAACCAAAAAGGGGGGAAGAAATGCTTATTAATTTATTCAATAACTATTTAGTTAACATCAACATCACTCTAATAAACTAACTGCCAAATAATAGTACAGTGAATTATGTCATGTGCTGTGGGACAGAATAAAGCAGAGTAAAGGAATAAGTACACAGTACAAGAAGATTATATCTAGTGTTTAGGAGACATAAAAGTTCTCCATAAAAAGAAGTCATTTGAGCAGAGACCTAAACAAAAGTGAGACCATTCATTATTTGTATGAAATGGCTAAAACTGGCAAATCTAGTAATAGTACAGGGCTAAAGATACTTTGGTCCTGCGTATTTTACCAGCCCTGGTTCGAATCCCCAGTAACATGCATGGGCCCTCAGCACCACCAGGGTCACTCTTGAACAGTCAGAAATAGTCCCTGAGCCCCACAGGACATGGCCAAATACACACACACACACACACAAACACACACACACAAACACACACACGAGGAAAAAAAGCATATTAGTGGTTGCCTATTGCTGAAGGACAGTGAGGGGTGGAGGGAGGGAGAGGGAAAGTGACAACTGCTGGGCAATAGTTTCCCTTTAGAGTGACACATGTTTTAAAACTCATTATGATAATGGTACTACTCTGCAAATATACTAGAAATCATTGATTTATATACCCTCAATTGGTTAATTATCCTGTGTCAGCTACATCTCAGTAACACAGTTTTGTTTTTGACACTCGTAACAAGAGTCCAGAGAGATAGTACAGGTGCTTCCTTGCTCGCGCTTCCTTGCTTGCAAATAATACCGGTTCTAATCCCTGGCACCACATATAGTTCCCCCAAGCACTGCAACAGGTTACTTCTGAGGATAGCAAATGTGGCCTCAAAACCAAAATAAAATGAGTTATGGGCAGAGAGAAAAAGGTTGGAAGATGAGAGCATACTGGCATATCTGAAACAGAGCAGAGAGGCAATCTGCCAATAAAAGAGAACAGGAAAAGTTGAGCATCTTGTATCAAACCAGATATGCCTGTTGGCTTTTACTTGAAGTAAGATAAAAGCCCGGAGGGAGAGGGAAATAAGTATGACTGATATCTGACTTACAATTTATTTTCTAAAACACATTAGGGGCCAGAGAGGTAGTACAAGGGTCAAGCTGCCTGCCTTACACACAGCTGATCTGGTTCAAATCCTCAGCACCACATGTGGTCACTTGAGCACCTCCAGGGGTAAGTCCTCAGCAAAGAGCCATCTGAGCACCACCAGGAATGGTCTCCCAACAGCCCCCTAAAGAAAAAACTCAACGAGAGCCAGAGTGTATAGGGCTTAGGGCACATCAAGCAGTCAAACCCAGATGGATCCCCAGTACCTCACCAGTAGAAGAGTACCTCACCAGGTGCAGCCCTGGAAACCCCCAAACACTACAGAGTGCAGCCCAGACAATCTCCTGCACCACAGGGTCTGAAAGGCACTGACTCAGGCCTAGCACTCAACTGCCAGCCCAGCCGGCAGGAGGGAAACACCTGAGATGAGAGATCCCTGACTACCCCCACCAAAAAAAAAAAAAAAAAAAAAAAACCAGACTTAACTTTGTAGGAATAACAGAAGCAGACAGGAAGCTCCTATTATAATCAAGAAGAGAAATGATGGCATTACAGAGCTTGAGAACACTGGAGGGATAATGTAAGTACATTCTGGACCGATTCTGAAGGTAGAGCCTCAAGGGCTTGAGGATAGTTTATATGTGGATGGGAAATAAAAGCAACAAAGATGATCAATTCCCAAGTTTTCCGGCTTGAGTAACTAGAAAGGTGTTACTTGCAAAGACAGGGACTGCTGCAGAATAAACAGGTTTTGGAGGTGAGAACCAGACGTTTTTGAGGCTGCTAAATGGTCGGGTAGAGAGAGACTCTCAACAGGCTAGAACATAGAATGCCTGCATGTAGGCGGCGTGGGGTTAATTTCCAGCATCACATGATCCTCCACCCCTTCAGCCAGGAGTAGCCCCTGAGCACCACCCGGTATGGCTCCAAAAAATAAATTAAAAAATTAAAACTGTCTACATAGACCTAGAGTTAGAAATCCTCACTAAACTATGAATGTTAATAATACAGCAGAGACAGCACCTGTCTTATACGCAGCCGACCTTGGTTTGATCTCTGGCACCCCATGTGATTCCCCAAGCCCTGAGTGAAAGCCAAGAGTCACACCTGAGCATGGCCAGGTGTGGTCCAAAAAATAAAAATAAACAACAACAAAAGAACTGGCCTCTTGAACACTCACCCATTTAGAGGTCAAAAAGTGAAGAAGTGAAGAAGACTAGTAAAGAAAACCAAAAGAGGAATGATCCGTATGACATGAGAAGAGTGAAGAGGGGTATCCCAGAAGCAAAATGAAGAATTTTTTGAGGAAAAAGTAATCAACTGAATCAAGCGCCAGAGATAGATCAAGTTAGTATGAGAGCACATATTTACTTCAAATGCAGTACCTTGAGAGTCAAGAGGTGTTTCAGTACAGTGGTTTGGTTAAAAGCCTAAATGGAATGCCTACGTTTTATAGGACAACCACCATAACAGTAATTCACTCAGGGTGAGTGAAGAATCTTTAACAAATGTTAAAACAAATGGGTGAAAACTTGACAAGACATAGAACATTTACATAATCTCCCCAGAAGATACTTTTCAACTACCAAAGAAAAAAATCCTTTATAGTCAAAAAGCCTCGCAGATATCCCCTTAACTTGATGATCAAAACTTAACAGCACCAGTAATGAATGGGTGATACTCCACTTTTTGATACACTACTGAGAATGATGCATCATTCAATATTCCTCCCAAAAATGTACACCATGAATCTAACTATGAGGAAACAAAAAACAAAATAAACTAAGAAAAGTCCTATAAAATAGCTTTCCTAAATATCAAAATCAGGCTGGAGAGATGACTCAAAGGGATGAAGTGCACAGAACTGAATTTGCTGCCCCAGCACTGCCTGGTCCCCTGATTACCACCCACAGCAATCCATAAGCACCAATTACAAAAATAAAGAAAAAAAGTAGATTAGTCCCCAAAGAAAAGAGTAATAGAGTAGACCAAAAACAAAAGAATCAAGATCATGAGACTGGAATACTACTTCTGGGTAAAGACTAGAGGGAGAGGGGGAGGGAGAGAGAAAAAGTGAGAGGGAGAGGGAGGGAGGGAGGGAGGGAGGGAGGGAGGGAGGGAGAGGGAGAGAGAGAGAGAGAGAGAGAGAACAGGCACTGCATATAAGGCACATGCCCTTGCATGCAGCTGACCCAGATTAGATCCCCAGCACCATATTTGGTTCCTCAAGTCCAGCCACTAGTGATCCCTAAGCACGGTGGGTTAAAAATCAAAAATGAAAAATTTTCATTTAAAAAATAAGGAAGACCAAGTCCTGGATCAGAAATTTTTCTTATGCTATAAAGAGCATATTTAATACATTACAAAAACTAAGATTATTCATTGTAAAATAATATTCTAATTTTTACGAAATTTAGTTACAGGACAAAACAGTTGTTTTTGGAATGACTATCTTGCAAACTTAGAAGCATATGGTCGACTGGAGCAATGGCACAGCGGGTAGGGCATTTGCCTTGCAGGCGGCCAACCCGGGTCTAATTCCCAGCATCCCATATGGTCCCTGAGCACCGCCGGGAGTAATTCCTGAGTGCAGAGCCAGGAGTAACCCCTGTGCATTGCCGGGTGTGACCCAAAAAGCAAAACAAAAAACAAAAACATATTGGTGATTGAGTTCTAATCCCAGGGGTCACTTATGTGCGAGTGTGATCCTGGCAGCTATACTGTGAACCCTGGCACCACAAATGACTTCCAGTCACAGCATAGTCAGATGAGCGTATAAGCACAAAAAGGGGTAGCTCTTATGGCCCCTGAAGTAGATGGGAGCCATCACAGGTAACCTCTGCAAAATCCCCACCGCGACCCCCAGCAAGCAATTCAACCATAACCTGTGACTCCACTAGGAATCCCAACTGGGCAAGCACATGTGCAAATACACAACTAAAGGAGTACAAAGCACAGTGAGCATTGAGGGCAAGGAAACAAGCACTGCAATCCGATGTGCCACCACCCCTCAGCACCACTGCCAGTCAGGTGTGCAATTCGTCATGAAAACAACATCCACAACAATGAAGGGAAGAGGATATGGGAAACAACAAATTTAAAAAAATAAAATATGCAAGGGATCACTACAGCAATGACCGAGGGAAGTGGTCACTCTGGACCAGGACCAGGCGCTGAAAGGAGGTCAAGCGTTATGCACAGTACTCTGTCAGTAACAGCATTGTAAACCACAGTGCCTAAAAGAACCAGTACATGGGGGCGGAAGAAAGAAAAAGGAAAAATGCCAAGTGCTTGCCATAAAGGCAAGCCAGGAGGTGGGAGGATAACTGGGGTAACTGGGGACACTGGTGGAATGAAGTGGACACTGGTGAAAACTGGTGTTAGAATGCTGCATGCCTGAAACTCATTCATGGATAGTTTTATAACTCTGTAATTCACAATGATTCGAGTTTTTAAATGTTTAGTATGTAAATTAACTCAGTACTTGTTTTTATTTTGGCTCAGCACTCAGGGATGGATCATTCCTGGCCAGTTCAAGAGACCATATGAGATACTGGGGATAGAACCCAGCTGGTTATGTGCAAGGCAAGCACCCTACCCACTGTACTATCCAGAATCTCGTTATTTTTCTATACTATTTTAAAATTTTCGTTAATTTAAAAAACAGAAAAAATTATTGCTTTAAGAATACACACACTGAAATATGGGGTAAAAATACCACACCAGAAAGACAGTTCAGGAGAAAAAAGGGCACACCTGGCATGCAAGAAGTTTCCATTCTCAGCGGCACCCTTCCTTGAGCACCACCAGGTGACCCCTAAGCCGAGCTAGGAGTAATCCCTAAACACAGCCCAATGTGGCCCAGAAACAACAAAAAGACACAAGAATTCCAGAATCACGTGCTGAAAAGGGAAAGAACTGCTGAGCAGAAGCAACACTTTATTTTTTGTTTTAAATCCCAATTTGTATTGTTTCGCTTGCAACATGCCTCTTTAGGTCCAAAGGGGAATGAACATAGTGCATAGAGAGATACATGGTTATGGAGAGTTATGCAGAGCATATATGGTAGAGCATATGAGCAGACAAAACTCAGCTGGCAGGAAAGATAGTGGGAATCTATAGAAATTCCCATTCAATCTTTTTATTTTCTTGGTGAAATGGAGAAAATAAAAGTGATGTGGCAGCCAAGAGTGAGGACAAAAAGAAGTAATCAGAGTGGGTCTAGGAAAGTGGTTATATGACCAGATGGCCAGGCAACACTAAGGGTCCACTTGAAAAGATGGTCATGTTAGCAAGGACACAAGAATTTTCTCCAGCTATAGCAAGTAATGCAGGTGCAGACACAGAATACTGGTTATAACACAGAGTAATGCCAGTGAAGGAAAAATGGCCAGGAAGTGATCTTTTCTTTTCTGTGCCAGAAAGTAAAATCCAGATCCCTCCATGAAATAATTTTTTTGTTCTGGGACACCCAGTGGTAACTGGGGGATACTCCTAGCTGTGCAGTGCCATGCAGTGCCAGAATGCATGCCGAGCAGACATTTCAGTCAGTTATTTCTATAGACCAAAGAAGTGATCTTAATAGAATGAAAGCAGCTAAGAGGGCAAGAGGCCATGGCAGAAAATTTCTTCCAAAGAGTGATAAATGCAGGTCCAGAGTGATAGCACAGCAAGTAGGGCGTTTAACTTTCATGTGGCCAACACAGATTTGATCCCTGGCATTCCATATGATGATAGCAGGGCTGTTCAGATGGTGTTTTCTCTACTCCTTTCACATAGGATTTTCTCTACTTCTTTCATGTAAAGTTTTCTGTTGTTTTTAATTACACACAAAAATGAAACAAAATTAAAGACTTGTGAGGGGGTGAGCAGGAGTGCATGCTGTGTAATTTTCAATATAGAGAAACTAATCATAGATAGTTTTAAACATTTCCCAAATAAGCAGAGTGCTGAAAGAATTAAAGAAGGAAAGAGAAGGCAGCAGAGGGAAAAATTCCAAACAAAGAACAGTAAGGCTAAAGATAAAACAGCCTAGATACTGAATGTGTTCTAAACGTAAGTAATCAGAATTTTACTTTAAAAGCCTGAAGCCAGTTTCCACTCGTGTGGAAAATGAATTAAAAAGAGCAAGATAAGAGCAGAAACTAGTTAGTAGGCTGTTGGTTAGTACAATCCAATCAAACTGAAATATGGGGGCTGGAGAAATAGTCTAGGGTAAGGTGCTTGCCTTGCACATGGCCAACACAGGTTCGAGCCCGGCATCCCATATGGTTCTGCGAGCACTGGCAGGAGTAAGTAATCCCTGAGTGTAGAGCCAGGAGTAACCCCTGAGTACACCCCCCCAAAACAACCCCCCCAAAAAAAACCTGTGAAACCAGTGCAAAGGTAGTTCCATTAACCGAGAAAGCAAAATTCACAAATAAATTTACTTAAAGGAGCAATCACTAATCTATTTTCCACTTTATGTATATATACTAATTTCTCATCACTTCTAATTAGACTAAAAATTCTCCAACCAAAATCTAAGACATAACAGATACTCAGTGTTTACAGAATAAAAACATGAGAAATCAAGACAAAAAGCAATCCACAGTTTTAGGTCCTGAGGGCTCAATATAAGAGATACAAGTTAAAAAAAATTCAAGGCAGGATACATCAAAAATTGTGGGACAGCAGCATTAAAGAGAAGTCTAGCTTCCCACATCACCTCCCTTCACTAAACTTCACTAAAAAACTTCAGACACTCTGAGGAGGTAAGGGAAGACTTCAAAGAGCTGAAATTACATGTCGACATACAGAGTATTTCAGAAATACTTAGGAACTTCATGAACGAGAGGGAGATGTACAGGGTAAAGAAAACAATCAGTTCCTGCATCTGAAACTGGCATGAGATATCATGAGATACAGCACCTCTCCAAGGATGGGCGAAACATGGGGAAATTCGGGGTAGGAGGGTGGGTGGTGTAAGACAGTATTACAAGAGTATCAATAGATTCAGAGCATTAGGTCTTTCTTAACACCCGTGCTTAACCCAGAGGAAATAGTGGGGCAAACTAGGGTGGGGCAATGGGAAAGATAAGGGTTATATGCGAGTCGTTCCTAAGGATGAAACAGGTCATGACAAGCTACATATGAAGGATGTGAACAAGATTCAAGTGTTTGAGAGGATACCTGCTTTTCTGGGTTGTTTTTTGTCTGTTTTTTCTGGGGGGGGGGGGTTAGGGGTTGTTGTTTTTGGTTTGGGGGCTACACCCGGTGATGCTCCGGGGTTATTCCTGGCCAGAGCCACTCAGGAATCACTCCTAGCGGCGCCGGGGGGGGGGGGGGGGCGCCCCATATGCGCCGTCCGAAACTAATCCCGGCCGCCCTACCCGCCGCAGCCCCGAGGACACAGGGGTTTCTGAACGCAGGGCGTTAGACTCCACTGGGTACGCCCAAAGGGCCCCTGGGGCTCGTCTACGAGGCTCTACGCCCCCTCGCAGTACTCGTCCCCCTTCGCTCCTGAGCGCCAGGCACGTCTTTCTTCCCGAGGCACATGCGGTCTCCGAGCCCTGCCAGGAGCGATGCCCACACGCCGCTCTGAGCACCGCCGGCTGAGCCCAACCAGAAACAAACACTGTCTCGAAAGACACGTCTCCGCCTATCCCGGGAGCTTTCCACCGAACGCAGCACCCTGCATTTTCTCTCACCACCAGGCTGCGAACCACCCGGCAAAGGGGGTCGGACATTCGGTTTAAAATGAGCCCAGGACTTGAGGAAAACATGATTCTCCAGACCCTGCTGCGCTGATGACTGATTCTCCAGCCATCTCCTGCGCAGTTCTCGCTGTGCTTCCTAACATTCCGCTTCTCGCTATCGCATCGGCAACTCGAGCGTCAACACCTACATAATCGCGGAGACGAGCTGCCACCGGCTTGGGGGGGGGGGGGGCGGAAACAAAATTCTCAACCCTCACGACGCGCTCCGGACGCCAACTCTGGGGACGACGGAAACTCTCCTAGAATGAAGGACGAGACGGAGCCTCCTCCCCCGGCTTCCACTCACGGCCTCCGATCGGAAACGGGTCTGAGCCTCGCGCAGGCCGCCCCTGGATCCGACGGGTCCCCGGCGGCCTTCCGCCCTCCCCCTGCCGCGGCGCCCACCGGGCCCGGGCCGCCCGCACGCGGCCAGACTCACCTGGGCCCCGCCCACCGTCCCGTGCAGCCGCAGAAGGCACATGAGCCCCGGCAAGTGCGGGGCCGAGCGGGCCGGGGGATGCACCGGAGTCACGGCGGAGCCCGCGCGGGACTGCAGCAACCCGGACACGCTCTCCAGCAGCAGCAAACGCAGGCGCGGGCCCGAAGCCGCCGCCGAGAGACCCCCGGCCCCGCCGGGAACCCCCGCCGCGGAGCCCGCCGACGGGCCGCTGAGAACCGCCGCCGCCATCTTCGCCCGGGCTCTCCGACCGGCGTGGCGCGATGACGCAAACCCCCGGCGCCGGACGCCTCCTGAGGAGGGGGCGCGGGGAGAGGGCTGCGGCCCGCGCGGAGGAGGAGGCCGACTCCGCGCGCCGACGAGGAAGGCGCATGCGCGGCGTGGCGCGCGGGGCAGGGACGGGGTCGGCTCCCCGCGCCCTCGGTGGGCGGGGCCGGGGCGGGCCGGCTGCGGAAAGAGCACGTGGTCTGCACGGAGGGCGCCGCGTCCGGAAGCCGTCGGCCGGCGGGGCTTCCGGGACTTTCGCTCTCGGGTTCGAAGATGCGGGAAGAAACAGGCCCGCGTGCTGGAAGTCGTAGATCTGTTTAACTGCATTTACAGCTGCAGAAATGTGACACTGGGGTCGGAGCGATAGTAAGCGGGGAGGGCGTTTGCCTCGCTGCTGCTACCCGGGCTCGATCTTCGGCATCCCACTTGGTTCTCTGAGCTCGCCGGGAGGGTTCCTGAGCAGAGCCAAGCCAGAAGTGAGCCCTGAGCACTGCCAGGGATGGTCCCCGCCAAAAAAAAATACACCACATGTGCATTGGCAAAACAATTCAAACAGTACCGATAACATTAAAAGAAGTGTCTCCCATATTATGCATACTGGATTGATATAAGTGTGCATAAATAATTTACAAAAGGAGTACGTGGACGCTGTTCCGTAAGCTTCATGGCACAATGAAATGTGGGTACCCGATGATTTGACATTTTCATTACTGAGGACTTACAAGTACTCCATTTTGTCTGTAATGCAAATACTTGCAAAAAGAGTAGAGGCCTGAGAGTACAACGTGTAGGACCCTTGCCAGCACCCCATAAACCTTGAGCACAACCCTGTGTGGCCAAAAACAAGTGAGGAGGGGAGGGAGGTAGAAAAGAAGGAAGGATACTTGCATATTTAGGTACACGAAGATAATATGAGTTTTAATAAATAATGAAATAAAATCTCAATCTAGTCTTTTTTCCTCTTGTCATTTTGGGACTATTTTTGGGGGGAAGGGTCACACCCAGCAATGCTCAGGGGTTACTCCTGGCTCTGCACTCAGGAACTACTCCTGGCAGTGCTCTGGGGGCTTTTATGAGATGCCAGGGATGAAACCTGGATTGGGGACATGCAAGACAAAAATGTCCTACCCGCTGTACTAGAGCTCCAGCCCCTCTAAGCTGTTTTTATGTTGTATCTATCTCCAAAATGCATTAATCCAAATATCAATACCAAGTGTGTGCTCCCCAGGACACTGGAATAGCAACAGAGGGAACAGAAAGGGAGGGAGCAAAATACATTAACAGAGCAGGGTTAATTTTTATTTCCCAGCTTCTGTGCCACTCTAATCCAAAAGTCTCTCACGGTCTCTCCTGTCCTCTCCCCACACACATACATTTTATTTTAACACCACGGTTTATAAAGTTGTTCGTGATGATTTGTTTCAGGCATTCAATACTTCAACATCCACCACTCCTATCACCTTCCCTCAACCATTATTTCCAATTCTCCATACCACCCCTAAAGCCTGCCTCTGTAGTAGGCCCACAATAATTCATTTTATATTGCTTGTTATCAATGAGTTGCTAACAGGATGATCAAAAAATATTTTCACAGAAGAAAATTAGTGAAAATTGTATCTCAACATGGCATGTTAAGTCCTTGACTGAGGGATTACTATAATGTTGTTACAAATTAAGCCTTCTGGATTAATGTTTCTGTTAGTCGAGATCGGTTGACTTCTAAGTTACAGTTCACCCAATCTGCTGTTCTATTACTAGATTGTCAGTGTTGTAGAGTTTTGAGATGTCCAGAAAATCCAGAATTCTTTACTGGGTGGCAGCTTTGGGGAGTGGGCGTGATTTCACCAGCTTCCAGAAGTATAGGGAGGTGGAGAGAGGTAGCCCATCCAACTCAGAAGGCCTGGAGTTTTCAGTCACAGGGACCTGTGTACCTGAGGTTTGGGGCAGGTTAAGTTCTCTGTAAGGCTGTCTTGAAGCAATGGAATCCCACCCATCCAAGGCTTGGCAGCAACTCTGAAGTGTGGGAGTGACTTCCAGGGCTTTGTTAGGGCAGGTACTGGCCTGCTCCCTTCCAAGACTGCATCCGGATGTCTCAGCCAGAAACAGGTGTCCGAGAAAATTTTGCAGCTAGTTGATCTCTTTCAAGATTTATTTATGAGTCTCTGGAACAAGGCCTGTAAATAAGTTTACCTGGCAGTGGAGGTGGTTCATTGGCTTGACTGTTGGGACTTCCAAAGTACATCTCCTGGCCTTTTACAATGGCTTCTTTACTTGCCTTGCTAATCTCTTGAGTATCTGTGGTCCCTTTCCCACAGTGCAATGACCTTAATGATCTTTACTAGCAAATTAACTAGTCTTTGCTGAGAACCCTTCAATGGACCTCCGGATGAGTTATGAATGGAATCTTATCTTTTCACCTTGGGCTACTAGAATCCAAATAATCTAACAACCACAACCTCTTCTCTGTCATTCTCCCTCTTCCCCTAGTCAAAAGCCCATTCCCACCTCAGAGTTTCCATATGCTGCTACTTCTGCCTAGAGAAACTTTTTCCTATATAACTGATATCATCTAAGTCACTATCGTCAACATTTATGCACCTCTGACCGGGTTCCTGTCCTGCATACTGGTCAGTTCATTACCTGGCCATTATAACAAAGGTGTTGACCAGTGTTTTTGTTTTCAAACTTTCTACACCTGCACACTGGTGACTCAAAACTATTGATCTAGGGGACAAAGCAATAGTACAGTGGGTAGCGGTAATTCCTGAGTGCAGAGTCAGGAGTAAACCCTGAGCACACTGGGTGTGATTTCCCCCCACCCTCAAAAGACTACTAATCTAGATACACTCAGGAAGGGCTCCTTTTTAAGTACATAATTCTTCAGTACTCCAACCCCCACCACTCTTTATCACAACCCCTAATTTGGTGTTTATGCTAATAAAATTTATTTACTTAATTTATTTACTTTCTTATTTATTAACTGAAAATCTCTTCCATTTGTTAGAGAAAAAGCTTAGTCAGGGCTAAAATTGTTAGTCATGCTGTGGGAACCAGGTTCTTGACTTTGCCACAGGAAAGAACTTGAGGATGAGTGAGATAAATCTAGTACAAAATGTGGTTTATTAAATCAAAGCATGCACCAATAATCACAGTGCAGAATTAGAGAGTCTAGGGGTTAAGGCCTTGCATGTACCTGACATAGGCTTGATCCCCAGCACTGAATATGAACCCTAAACACTGCCAGCGATCTCTCAGAAGCACAGAGCCAGGAATAGCCTCTGAGCACCACCTGCTTTGGCTCAAAACACCTCCCAAAGAGAAAAAGAAAATTTTAAAAGTTAGAGTGCACATTTTTGGAATGTAAAATATCACAATGTGAGACTCACACCCAAGGACAGTAGAGTCCAGGACCAGGAATCTTGCTCCATGGTTAGAAGCCTGCCTTATGAGCTGAGGGAGAAGGCAGCTGGGATAGAGAAGAGACCACTACGTCAATCGTCAATGATGATTGGAGGGATCGCTCGGTATGGGAGATGTGTGCTGAAAGTTGATAAAGGACCAAACATGATGGCCTCTCATTATCTGTATTGCAACCCATAAGGAGAGAGAGAGAGAGAGAGAGAGAGAGAGAGAGAGAGAGTTAGAGGGAAACTGTCTGCCACAGAGGCAGGGGGAGGGGTGGCATGGGGCAGAGGGAGGGATACTGAGGACATTGGTGGTGGAAAATGTAGACTGGTAGAGGGATGGGTGTTCGATCATTGTATGACTGAAACTCAAACATGAAAATCTTGTAAAGGTAAAAAGGTAAAGGTAAAGGCCCTCCCGTTGATCGTCGATTTGCTCGAGCGGGCCCAGTAACGTCTCCATTGGAGACTTTGTTGTTACTGTGTCTGGCATATCGAATACTCTCGGTAGCTTGCCGGGCTCTCCGAGAGGGGCGGAGGAATCGAACTCGGGTTGGCCATGTTGGCCGCTTGTAAGGTGAACGCCCTACCGCTGTGCTATCACTCCAGCCCTTGTAACTGTAAAAAAAAAGAAAATTGGAGTGCAGAACTAGATAGCACAGGGTTAAGGAACTTGCCTTGCATGCTTGCATGCAGCCAACCCTGGTTTGGTTGCACTGCATGACGCATGCATGCACTGCATGGTGCATGCAAACACACAGCTGGGAGTAGCCCCATGCAGTGCCAGATATAACCAAAGCGCCCTCTCTCACCCCCACAGAAGCAATCAGAGTGAAGGATCCAGGCAGTTCAAAGGGTATCGTTTGCATGCAGGATGCTCCAGGTTTAATCCCTGTATCACATGGCTCCCCAGCATAGTGCCAGGAGCAACTCCTGAACTCTGCTGGGGGTGCCCCCAAAGCAAATGAACAAAAGAATCAGAGTACTCCTAAAGGGAATAGCAATTTTCTAATTAGGAAAGGCAGTTTACTAAGAGTAAGCACACACACTCAGAGTCCCATTACAGATATACCTAGAGTAGGGTGAGGAAGGTCCACTCCATGGTCTGTATAACCCCATGAAATCATGTGATCTGGTTCTGGTACGTGATTGGACAAACACATGCTTTTCATCAGCTATCCATGGCCTGGTGTATGTCCCTGTGTTATATTGCTCGCAAAGTATATCAACATACAAATGGCCCCTTTTTAGAAAAGTTTCCCCACCCCTGCAGAAGAGTGCTTTTCTGAACAAATTTCCAAGTTATATGGGTATAAGAAAAGATGAAATTAATTGGAGGAGAATATGCATGGCCAGAAAAGAAGGTTTTGGGGGCAGTAATTTCTCAGAGTCAAGGCACCCCTCGCCCACAATCTATCTTATTTATTTAGCCATGTCTAGAGAGTGCAGTAAAAATTGCAAATTGTGATGCTATAAAAGTAAAGTAAAGGCCCTCCCGTTGATCATCGATTTGCTCGAGCGGGCCCAGTAACGTCTCCATTGGAGACTTTGTTGTTACTGTGTCTGGCATATCGAATACATATTGATGCTATGTTTGCCTTGCACGT